GTAAGTGCTTCTTTAATTTCCTATTTATTTCACCTATGTGTACGGGAGTACAAATAATTCATTGCAGTTTTTTTATTCGTTTTTATAGAAACAAAAGGCTTTGAGAATGTATGAAAGGCTTTCAAGTGGTAATAAGAAAAAGGAATTCAAGTATGTGTATTGCTGGGAACTTTTGATAACGAACCCAAAATGGTGCACAAGTCAGCTTACGAAATCGTCTGCATCTGATAAAGATTCTTTGGTCAATGGTAACATTGCGGGAACAAATCAGACCACACCTAATGTGGGCAATTGTTCTACCGAGCCTGAAAAAGTAGCATGTGATGAAATTGTGCGCCCACAGGGAAGGAAGAGCTGTAAAGAAAGAAAGCGTAAGTTGAATTCAGACAATGGAGTGATAGAAGTGTTGAGTAAATTACAGTGTACCTTAGACAAGCAAGTCGAAATTAATATGGCAGAGTTGGAGTTGAAGAAGGAACTACTGAAGAAGGAGATAGAACTAAAAGAGAACAGTCAAAGAATGAAGATGAAGGATCAAGAAACGAGAGAGGGAGAGAGAGAAAGAGCCCAAAGAAGATTAGAACAAGAACGCATCATGAATCTTGATTTGAGTAAGCTGTCACCTACAGCTCAAGCGACATATGAAATATTGCAAGCTCAAATATCAAAGGAGTGGGGAATTGGCAGCTTGTATACATGAATACATTGGAGATATATTAATGCATTTTAATTTCAAACATGTCAGTGTCATTTGATTTCAAAGACTATTCTTCCTATATAGCATTAGTTATTTAGACAGTTGAATTATATATTTCCTAAGAAAATATGAACCTTATTTGTTTATTAATGATGTTGTTGATTTGTTTGTTTTAATATTGTTTTGGGATTAACTTCTTTTCCTGTTATTTACATGAAAGCTAGGAGTAGACAACAATTATTACACAAAAAACTAAATTTATGTCATTATAAGGAAATGATTCTCAGTGTCCAGTGTGAGTATGTATCTGCAACATACTTACATAAACATAAAAAAAACATGGCAGTGTGTAACATGCATGCAAAAGATTTAGAATGATATAAAAATTTAAACTATGTTGTCTTATATTAATGACACAACGTCACTCCCACATTATTATATAACTTAAAATTTTACAAAGCAATAAATAAAGCTTATTACATTAAACTAAAAATGAAGGGTTCACAAAACACACAAAAAAAATTAATCATCAAAAACTTGACCACCATAGACTTCCCACAAATGGTTGATGAGATCATTTTTTAATTCTCTATGTAACCATGTGTTTTGTATCTGCTTTGTCCGATTAATCATCATGGACATAATTAAGGTAAAATCATGCTCTAGATTAACACTTTCACCGGGTTCATCTCCTTCATCCCGCCAATCTTCTGGATTAATGCCTTCACTACGCTCATTCTCAATAATCATGTTATGTAAGATGATGCATGTCTTCATTATCTTTCCCAAGTCTTTAGCACTCCACATTCGAGCGGGTCCTTTAATTATATGCCATCGACTTTGTAGCACACCAAATGCTCGCTCAACATCCTTTCGCGCCGATTCTTGTTTTTTTGCAAATAACTTTTCCTTGACAGACGACGGTTGAGATATTGTTTGGATGAGAGTAGCATACTGTGGATATATCCCATCAGCTAAATAATACCCCATGTTGTACTCATGACCTTGAATAGTGAATTTGCATGGCGGAGCAATACCATTAATTATATCATCAAATAATGGTGATCTATCTAAAACGGTAACATCATTGTTACTACCCGCCATTCCAAAAAAAGCATGCCAAATCCATAAATTTTGGGAAGCTACAACTTCTAGAATAAGAGTGGGAACTCTTTTAAAACCATTAGTATGTGTGCCATGCCAAGCAGTGGGACAATTTTTCCATTGCCAATGCATACAATCCAAGCTGCCCAGCATACCGGGAAATCCACGAGTCTCATTTTCCTCTAGGAGCACTCTAATATCATCCTTGTTTGGTTTTCTCAAATAATGCTCTTCATAGAGTCCTATAATAGCATCACAGAAATGCTTCAGGCTTTCAATCGCAGTACTTTCTCCAATTTGAACATATTCATCAAGAAAATCAGCTGGACAACCATATGCGAGCATACGTATTGCTGCAACCATCTTCTGGAGGGGGCTCAACCCAATGTTTCCAACAGCATCAGTCTTTTGTTGAAAATATGTGTCATGGTTTTCAACATCTTGTAGTATTTTATTGAATAATTCAATATTCATTCTAAATCTACGACGAAAAAGTTCGGGGGTGTACTTTGAGTTTTCACCTTTGAAGTAGTCATTAACTATTATGTCATGGCGCTCTTTCCTATCACGGCGAATATAGCATCTACCTGATGATGTTGAGCCGTCAAGAGAAAACTTTGCAGCGGTCAACATTGAAGAAACAATCAAGGGAGCATCCGAATGCTTATTTACGTCAAACAACAAATGTTTGGAAAGTGTAAGTTCACTATCACTGGAACATGAACTATTAGAATCCGAATCAAAATTCGGAGAAGTCGTATCCATTAACTGCTTTTCTGTTCAAACAAAAAAGCAATCAACACCATAATTCTTACACGTACTAAAAAATCGCATAATCTAAAACTAATAAAATAAAGATTATATATAAACAATTATACTGTATATACGAAGTATAATAAATTAATAATACACACACATATTAATTTTTCTAAACTTAATACCCACTTCCTTTGAAAAACTACTTTAAAACCACTTTTCACGGCCCTCTTTCTTTAACGAAGGATTCAAACAAAAGTGGAATTTAATTTTTGTTTCTTATTCTTTAGAAGAACAAAACAAATACAACACGATCATATTCTTTATGATCAGATTTGTATAATCTAACGTGACCAAAACATAGAATTTGTAAAGGATCGAGATTCGAGAGTAGGGCGAAACAAGATTTACCTGAAATCTACGTAGGAAGCTGTTTTTTTTTAAAGCTGCGTAGGAAGCTGTTAAAACAAAGAAAAGTAGTTTCGATTTATTTTAATGTAATATTTTCCACATGGGATCTGTCATGGGCCGAGAGTTTGTGATGCATTGTAGAGGTTTTTTAACTTTCACTTTCCGATCAAACCACTTTTTATTTCGTGGACTACAAAGCCATTTAATTTTTTGACATTTGGCACTTTTAAAATAGACTAGACATGGATGGGTTGGAGATGCTCTCAGTGGTGGTTCAGTTGAGTTTATATGCTCACCCCTAGAACCGTTTTAACATTACGTGACTTTCGTTCAATTATTTCCGTGAGATTGTGTCGCCTTTCAGTCAATTTTGGTGCATTTCATTTCATTTGCCTATGCTTTTTAAAATTTTGTCCACTTTGATTTCGATCGGGTTGCGTTTTTTGTTTGTTGATTTTTTTGTCCTCTCCTAGCAAATACTATCGCACTACGTATGGCCCGAGTCTATTTATTATTTATTTTGTGTATTAACCAAATTAAATTTTTTATTCAATTTTGATTTTTTTGATTCAATAAAACTTTAACATAGATTTTAAATATGTATTCCATAACTGTTACTTATGAATAGTAGTTTGATTACTATTAATGGTGAGGTAACTTTATTGTCGGTCAAAGGTATTATGGAAAAAATATGGAGTATCATGACATGTGTTTAGATTTAGGCTCCGTCCGGTAGCCTTATGTCAGTCACATTGGCCAATTAGTATGAAAAGGGCATATATGCCAAATCTGATCCGCTTTTAATAATTCCAATTAGTGATTATTATTGGGTACGGTGGTCCGAACTTTTGGGAGGTTTTTCCATTAATAGTCCCTGACCGGATGGTTGGCTAAGTTTTCTCCACTGACCGGTTAGTCATGTGAGATGCCTATGGTACATTGGTACCACATATTATTAAAATATTTAAATGCCTTTGAAGATAAAATCGCGCTTTCCCTTCTCCACAAATTTTTCTCATCCCTTTCTTTATGCGCCATAGCCAAAGTAAGAGACGTGCCAGCAAACCTAATTTCATTAACAGTCAGTTCAACTACAACGTAACTCCATTTTCAACATAAACGCGGTCACACGGGTGATGAAGTTAATTGTCTATAAACAATCCCTAATTCGCACACAATTACATGTAAAACCTGAAAAATTATAAATAACTTTTACCTATATTATGCGATTCAATTTTTACCTTCAACTTACGAACTCCAAGCTCTACGATGGTAGCTGACTGGTTCTAACAAGGAGAGAGTCAAGAACAGCAAAATCAAAGGGAGAGAACGTACGATGTCATTTAATTTAGTCGGGTGAGAGACTTCTAATATTAGAAGTCTATTTTGACTTGCTTAACCGGTAAGCAATACCTGGGACAAGGGGTGGATTCGGGCCGGGTCGGGCCTAGGCCCAACAGGCTTTCTGGGTTTTGGGGTTGGGCCCGGGACCGGCCCGGGTATCCACTGGGTCCAGTCCGGGCCGGGCCGGGTCAAAAGTATTTTTTTTGGGCTTTCCTAACTACACCTGCCCCCCCTCACCCTCACCCTCACCCCCCCAAACACCCAGCCCAACCCGTTGGAATAAAAATAAATGGAAAAACAAAAAAAAAATGAATTGGGCCCGAACCGGGGCCGGGCCTCAAATAGGCCTACCCGTGCCCGGTACCGTTTTCCCCTCGGGCCGGGTCAAAGCCCGGTACCCAGACTGCTGAACCGGGCCGGTCCCAGGGCCGCACAGTAGCGGGCCGGACAGGTTCCAGGTTGGGTGGCCCGACCCGAGTCCACCACTACCTACTTACCTAGGACTATTAATGGAAAAACCATCCAAAAGTTCGGACCACCCAATAATAATCACTAATTGGGATTATTAAAAGCGGATCAAGTATAATTGGGATTATTAAACTCAATTTTTCCTATTACTTACAGTACTTATTCTGGTTATTAACAAAATAAACAAACTTTGATAGAATTATTTGGCTAAACTTAGTTTTACCAAACGCTTTAATCATGATGAAGTTCAACACTTCAACCAATTTAGTCACTTGGGCAAACACTTGAATACCCATGACAATGGGCTCTTGGGCAGTTGGGCATGCCCTTTCATTCAATACATTTCCAAATCTACCACAACTCACCAACCATCTAGTACAAACTAAAACCAACAAAGCCAATGGCTTTTAGCTCAAAAATGTTTAACACGTCAAAAGGACTTGTTCAATTAAACTGAGTAATGTTAACTACAACTGGTGGTACAAAATCTATCAAGGTAATGTGTAATTTTTTCCAATCACTACCCCAGCAAAAATGATGCAGTGAGTTAGTATGACTTGAAGTTACACAAAAAATTAAGAGAGAAGCACCAACGTTGGACTGATCACGATGAAAGACTGTTAATAACTTGGGAGTAGAAACCCCAACTGGGGTGTTTTTCACTAATTGCACTTTGCCCAAATGGATGTTGTTCAACAAATTTCTGTATGTGCTCAGCATCTGCCAACTTTTCCAAGTACAAACGAAGATCACCACCAGGGCCTGATTATGGAGAAATTTGCTTCTAAAACTTAGAAATCTTGGTTATGCAGTCAAATATAGTTGAAAAACATTGATGGTCTGTTTGGAACTCAGAAAATGTTAGGGAACAAATGTATAAAGGACAATTTCAAAGGAAAGAAAGTGTGGGAAAATTTAAGATAAATATTTCTTCAAACTCGATATATCAATTGTAGACATTTGCCCAAACCAAGGACTAATGTATCAGTATCGGTAGACATATCTGTACCTCACTTTTGTTGAAATATTGATAGATATACCGATATTGATATCTTTATCCATATAAAGTATAATAAAGTAAAAAGATATATCAAATTATTAAGATCCTTGGAATATAAACGGAGATCTTTGAGTTATTTTTTGAAATTTTACAAAAAATGGTGAGAAATACTACAACCTCCGTCCCGGCTTAAGCTTCTCATTGAAAAATGGCACCGTTATTTAAATAAAGGTTATTTGATTATATTTTGGGAAATAACTTTGATTGGTATATAATATAATGAGGTTATTGACAATAATTGTGATGTCACAGGTGTACTATTTTTACTATTTGATGATTAAGTTGTAATTTAGGAGGTGGTAATTATTTTATAAAATAAAAATGAGAACATTTAGCTAGGAGGTCCGGTAGAGGCAAGTGAAAAAATATTGGTTAGCATAAAAAAAAATTCATCTTTGGTCCAAACTTATTATAATTGAATATTTATATTATACTTTTAATAATAAACGTAGTATATGTAAAGTTTATAAAAGTTTTGATTAAATTGCCCTCAAAATATGTTGCAGGGAAAACTAAACATCTAAAACCCATTTCCTTTGTGTTCTTTTGTCTTTTCCTACCATTTCCAGACTTACAAACATAGCCTAAGAGAAATTCAAGAAACTTCTTTTTGTGCCGAGTTGATGTTGAAGATAAACAATTATATGAAAAAACTCACCCAAAGAGTTATCCCTGTGTTTATCCCTGAAGTTGTAGGAATATGGAAAGATTGTCGTGTGAGCCTAAAAATCATGGAAAATTAAACACAAGATTATGGAAACAATTTACTGCCACAAAAAAATAACTCAAAATATAGGTTTCTAATGAGACAAAATACTAGAATAAAGGAGATAAATAATTTACAGGATTGAGCAGGGCCTTGTAAGGAGAATCATCCAATAGCAAAGTGTTTGACTCGTCATAATCTCCTTTCTTCCAGGGTAGACCAGGGTAGGGTGGGTCCCATATTTTCCTTAAATCCTTACAGACCAATGGTTTGTCATTGTTTTCAAGAGTCTTGAATTTGGTCGGGGTAGCATGAGACATATCCTGCGTAAATTACAGGACATAAAGTCATAAACATCAGTAAACCTTCTTTGTAACGTTGAGAATGTGAATAACCAGTATGTGTACTTTTATTAAAAAAAATGTTACTTTGGTGTGCTAGATGTAGATCATATGATTCATATACCTTTTCAAATCATGATAATGTACTTCAAATCTCATTAGGTTATTCTTAGAGAAGTAATTGGTGGGTGGAGTGGATGGGGGTTGAATGGATTTAGAAAATATATAAAGAAAGAGAGCTAACCCAGCAAAATAACAACTTGTGCTTCAGATCTCCCAATAAATAATCTACCACTCTATCAATAATTCTCCTGCATATTACATTAATTATGCCACTTAAAGCCCATGAATGATACACTATGAAGAGGGAGAAATGTTAGATATAGCATAGAAAACTAATATAAATAAACTGGCAAAGCAACAACAAAAGTGATGTTGAGTACTTCGTTCTAGAAGACCAGATTGCCACATCGAATCTCTCAAAACAGAACTTCAGAAAATCATCACAGAAGGGTCTCTTGAATACTGCAAAGGAAAGTGATCATTAGCATATTACCAAGCAACCATTATGTGTATGCTTGGAACTTATTGCTAAATTTAAGCTCCAAAAAAAAGTATCAGTATTGTTTATTGGGGAAAACACATTTTTAGTCCTTAAAATAGTCACCATATTGAAATGTTAGACCCGTATTTCTGAGTTTATAAATGTCACTCCTCAATTGTCCAAATTGGTGTGAATGTGGTCCTTTGAGCGGTGACATTTCACCCTTCAAATGACCACATTTAAAGCAATTTGGACAATTCAGGGGTGACATTTACAATCTCGAAAATATGGGTCTGGCATTTCAATATGGTGACTATTTCAAGGGACTAAAAGTGCGATTTTCTCTTGTTTATATATAAAATAAGTGTTCAAAATAAGGTCTTATTTAGAAAGTCTCACGCATGGCATTTCATACTCCCTCCGTCCCGCTATTAACTTCCTACTTTGACCTACACACATATTTAGGAAATAAATTTGACTTTACTGTTTAGACACTGTTTGGCACTGTTTAGACACTGTTTGGCACTATTTTGCACTGTTTGACATTGTTTTGATGTAGGATAACTTTCCATTTAGGGAAATGAGAAGATGATTTTGGGACGACCCAAAACGGAAAGCAGGAAGTTAATAGCGCGTAAGAAATGACATTTTATATGTTATTACTAATGTAAGAAATGACATTTTATACTCCCTCCGTTCCCAAAAATACTTCCCACTTTCCTTTTTGGGTTGTTCCCAAAAATACTTCCCACTTTCCCTTTTTGGACAATTTGTGTGGCTCACATTCATTTTACCTTTTTCTTATACAACCACAACCATACATTTCCACTTTATTCCACTTTCTTAATAGGCGTGCAAAATCAAACCGGGAAGGGTTTTTAGGAACGGAGGTAGTATTTGTTTACACATTATTAGATCATTAGATGTTCAACCGCTAATGGTTCAAACAATTCTAATAAAAACCAATTATAATGACTTTCAAGTTCTAGCTATAAGTTTTTAGCTTCCAGCTAGCTTTTCAGTTTGTTTTGCCTAACCGACTCATCACGGTAGCACTTCAAGAGTTATAAATGAAAGAATCACTGACGGCTAATCAATAATCAATATGTGTGAATAGAATTAGCAGTAGAACAGTGATAACCAAACTGTATCTTGAATACCACAAAACAAAGTGTACTATTGATTGCCTTAAAAATTGTGGAATTTAAAACTAACCCGCCCTTCGTAGAAAGCTTGTATCCGGTTTTATGTCTTTTGGTGGTGGCATAATTATATCTGCAAGTAGTCCATTCAAATCAAGAATGAGCAGCTTTCTCTTCAAGCGTCTGCCGACATCCATGGATTCCATTGTTACCTCTAAGCCGGATGAAAGATGGTTCTGATCAATGCAACTTTCAGCAGCTGAAATCTTTTCAGGAGAAGCTAAATGAGACCCGTGTTTTTCATTAAGATCCGCACAACACAACATTGCAGAATCTGCACACAGAGCTTCAGTCTCTTCCATCCTAGAAGATAGTGAGACTTGTGTTGCAGTCTTAGCGTGATCTATTTCATCACCTTGTCCCTTTACATTTTTTGCCTTCTTTTCCTTCTCTTGGTTCTCAGGTTCCGACATCTGTGCAGCCAACTCTACATCAATTTCTCCTCTCTTTCTCTTCCGCCCATTTTCATTTTTTTCATCAATACCTATAGGAGAAAGTGAAACTCTCTCAAGACTCTCCGGCTGAACAAGTACTTGACCAGTTGACTCTGTATCACCAACATTACTTGCCAGATTCTTTTTCTTCCTCTTCTTTTTCCCATTTGAATACTTTTGGCCACTTTCATTCTGCTCCTCTATATCTTTGGTCAAACTTGTGTCCATCTCTTGAAGCTCTTTAGCAAATGGTTGTGGTTCACAAGTAGTTGTGTTAATAACAGCAGCATCACATGTAAGATTCTTCTTTTTCTTCTTCTTTTTCCCATTTGAACTTGAACACTTTTGGACACTTTCGTTCAACTCCTCTGTATCTTTGGTCAGCTTTGTCTCCATCTCTTGAAGCTCTAGTTCCAGTGGTTGAGGGCCAGACATTGTGTGGACATCAGCAGCATTACTTGTAGCGTTCGTTTTCTTCTTCCTTTTCCTATTTGAACTCTTTTGTCCACTTTGGCACTGTTCTGATATATCTTTGGTCAAACGTGTACACCCCACTTGATGCTCCAGTGGTAGTGGTTCAGAAGTTGTTGAGTCCAAAATAACAACATCACTTGCAGGCTTATTTACTCTTTTTTTCTTATGCTTTCTGCTAGACCCAATTGCCTCAATGTTTAAATTTTGCTTTTGAGGATCTGGAGCTAGAAATTGTAGAGATGGATCTACTTGGGGTAGAGTAACCTCAGGATTAGTCATGGCTTCAGTAGATATATTTTTACTTTTCTCCATCGTCTTTCTATTTTTTATCCCGGACATATGTTCTCCCAGAAGATCTTCAGTTGGGTTCAAAACTAACTCCTGAGGCTTTAAAGAATGCAAATCCACAGAAGATTCTACCTCAAGTGCAAGTGGTTGTGCAGCAGTGTCCATATCAACACCATCACTTGTGAGCATATTTAGTTTATTCTTCTTCTTCTTCTTCTTCTTCTTCTTCTTATTCTTCGGCTTTCTGTTATAACTATTTGCACCAATGTCTATATCTAGCTCATGAAGCTTTGGATCTGGCAATTGTAAAGATGAGTCTGCTTCTGGGAGAGTAAGCTCAGAATTAGTCATGGCTTCAGTAGAAATATTTTTACTTTTTCTCTTCTTCTTTCCCTTCTTTTTCCTGGACATATTTTGTTCCAAACTATCTTCTATTGGGCTTAAAACCAACTTTTGGGGCTCTGGAGAATAAATTTTAGTACCAGATTCTACCTCAAATGTCAGTGGTTGTGGTGCAGAAGAAGTGTCCACAACAACAGGATCACTAGTGGGTATATTAGGCTTTTTTTTCTTGTTCCTCTTTGGCTTTCTATTGGAACTGTTTGCCTCAATGTTCATATCTAGCTCTTGAAGCTCTGGAGTTGACAATTGTACAATTAACTCTGCTTCGGGGGTCACAACCTCTGGTTTCGTGATGGTTTCAGAATAAATCTTTTTACTATTTTTCTTTTTCTTCTTTTTCCCATGCATATTTTCTTCTGAAGGTCTTTTTGTTGGGGAAAGCAAATTTGCAGAAGATTCTTCTTCAAGAAGAAATTTTTGGCAGCCAGCTGTATCTGTTTGGATCGGAGTATCCTCTGCGGTATCCATACAATAAGAAAGGTTTTGTTGGTTGCTAGAAGTCTCCAAATGACTTATATCATTCTTGTATGTGCTTTGTTTCAGAATAACTTCCTGTGCCTTGCGTCTACTGCATCTTCTATTGTGCTTGCTCATTATCTCTGCCTCTCTTTATTTGCTTCCCTGAAAATAGATATGCCAATTAGCCTGAATGTCTACAAACTCATTTTTTCTCTGCTTCTCTACTCATCATTATCTATATAACTAGCGGCATGTGCCCTACGTGCGAATGATGCCCAATGTAGTTACTTAATAATGTGATTACAAAAAAGTAATATTCAAAAAGTGGAGAATTTAAAATGTATATGAAAATTGAGTAAAACTTTTAGAATGTTAGAATCTGTTAATTTTTACAAAGGTAACAATATGTGGAAGTTTTTTTAGTAACACTAACAATAGAAACCAATGCTGACGGGAATTCCCAGAAGAAGGCTGCATCTTAAAGAGAGGTTTTGCTTCGATCTGAAAAATAAAATATTCTTGCGAGGAAGGCTTCTGATATCACAGCCGCTGATTTCAAGGACGAGAAATGGTCTGATATGGAAGAGGTTCAATGCTTCTGGAAGCAGATGGTAAGATTCAAGAGTGGAAGGATGTTCCCCCAAGTCATACTTCAGTTCATGGAGAAAACATGCTCTTCAATAATGGAATTAAGGAAAAGGAATTTCCGGGAGTTGAATCATGGAATCACGGTAAAAGTAATGGAGAACAGAAGGAATATCCAGAACTTCAATCACTTATTCAGAGTAAAAGTAATGGGGATTAGAGGGATATACAATGTATTTTATCCAAATGCTTATGTTAAATACTAGTATTAATTTTTTATTACAGCCATACCAACATCGGATACTCAAGTAGTAGGTTTTGAATCACTGGGTATAGTTTGCTTTCTTTTTTAGTGAGCCATATCCTATATTGTGTATATTTCCAGTGTATTTTACGTTTTAGTAACTTATAAAATAATGACATTTTTACGTGAAATGCAAACGAGAGGAGTATAACATATGTGATATAATATATGTAATACAGCTTGACTACAATATACGCATAAAAGATAAAAGTACAATCTAAACAATAACCTATATATGCATCATAGTGACTTCATCTCCTTATATTTATAGACCAACATATGGCATTCTTTTAAAATCTATGTGGGTGCAGACATACACCTGTTATGGTTAATTATCACCAACATTTACGATAATTCCTAGTGTTTTCTGGGAAATTGAGAGGTAAAAATAATGATGTGTTTTGAAAAGCACATCAGTGATGCTTTTGTCCTCTAGAAATGTAATATGCCAAGTCCTTTCTTTGTAGAGGGCACGTGAAAATTGGATTTCAGGACAGAACAAGTAAAAGAAAAATTGTAACTATTGTTTAGAAAACAGTATATGCCTGAGACGTTGGGCAACATGATTGGGCTGCGAACTTGAACATTGTAAACAAGGTTACATAATATTGAAAAACAAAACAAAGGGAACACACTAATGGGGCATTATTGGTGTTAAACCTAGTCATGAGTGTTTTTTAGGAGTTGAGTAGAGGTAGTCCAATGTATTGGTGTAATGGAAAGTAAAAGATTAAAAATTGTACCATACTTGTTTTTAAAGAGAAGATGTCATTTTTTGCCGGTAGACTTACAAAAAGATATGACATTTTGTTAAAAATGTCAATTAGTTTAGATACAAACTATATTGAAACTCTGCGAAAACAGTAACTCGTACAAAAACATTGACTAAACTTTATAAAATTTGTTCCATTTGAGAAAGACATGACATTTTGTGTTCTTATGCAAATGATATCCCGCTGTTTAAGTGTAAAATCTCTAACAAAAAAATTTGATGGCAATGTGGAATTGAACTTGCTTGTGTTCATATAAAGGAAATATTCAGAATAATTAACAACTATTGGAAAGATATTTAATGTTATTAACTACCATTGAGGCGTTTTACCGAACACTCTGTAGGCGTGAAATAGGTCTTTTCTTTTTAAATACGTAGCAAAATGATGGCCACTTTTTGGAATCCTCAAAGTGTTCGTAAGCCGCTTCATTCAAATAGCCCTCAACAGCGGTGAACCTATACCACATTTCCAGAGTCATTTCTGAAATCCCAATTCTAGTTGTAGATAAATTTAATTTAAAATTGATTGCACAAAATAGAGCACTTCATGCGCAGTATTTGTTGTTAAATTCGTAGATGACTTTGAAATTTGAAAGGCAATGAAGTTACATGAAATGGGGATTCATGCATTAGAAGAAGAGAAGCATACCTTTTGGTTCGTGCAGACAGAGATGGAACGGGGCAGATACAGATCTAACTCCATCGCTTGAAATAACATGTGAAGAGGCGTTTGATAACCGTAAAGGTATGTTGAAGAGGCATATGTGAATGAAGAAGCTGGTGAATAAAATAATTGTTCAATTAGAAAACTGCCAATTTCAGGCAGCTACGAGAATGAAAATTTTCGATAGTACGGAGTAAAAAATAACTGTATAGTTAAATGAAAAATATCCACACTGAATCAAACACTAATCTGCTTCCAGAATTTAGAGTGCGGCTATGCATTTTAAAAACTGCTCCCACACTAGCAGTTTCACAACCATAACTAGTTCACATAAACTCCGCATTAATTAGCACCCTTTCAGTTTATCAGAAATCACAGCAACTCTGAAGGCAGGGCAAGTTCATGATGATATTTTTAAATGGTAATGTATTCTTTAGACATCCATTCTTAGGCTATTCTATGCTACGTTTTTTGCCTGTGCATTAAATATAGCAAAGAATATTCCGCTTAACAAATTAAGGGAGGGCAATACTTCAAAAATAGGGTGCTCAGTTTATTGGCAAGTTTAAAACCCCATAAAACGAATTTCAGGAATTAAAGAAAATTTTCTTATGAATAGAAAATTACTAACAACACAATTATAATTGCAAAAACTATCAACATTTGAATAGCTTCATACAAAATTAATAATTTAGAATGCTGATTAAGAAACATCGAAATCTATTTTATCCTCATCACAGGAGTGAAAATACAGGACTTTATGTATAGCAAAGATATAATTGAGGAACAAAGATTCCAGAATTTGAATGTTTTAGACCGAATCTGTTCTTGAGTTCATCAAACTTGAACTTGTTTGTTAAAATGGATATACCAAGGATGAGTTAGTAATTTACAAAGCAATCTACACCTGATAGAGACGATGGAAGTTCTTCTAAGGACTCAAACCGTGCATGAGTACTGCTAGACACCACAACGGTGTGAGTGGCCAGACAAGAGCGACATTGACGGTTGTCTGCAAATAGCTACAGTCCTTCCTAGTCAGAAAACCATTACAGGGTCTGAGAAAACAATCGCCTCGATTCAAATGTGAAAACCGATTACAAGGTGCTGTAAATCCAAAAGTATACAAGCATATTGTTACATAGCGTGTTGATTGAGATTCTTAATTATGTGGTGGTTACGTTGAAACGGGAGATACCTGGATGAAACAACAGGGGAGAAAGGTGAATTGTCGAATTTTGGATGCCAGAGCCGAAGAGACGGTGATGAAATAATCGGACTGTTCTCCTTTCCAAGTTCTGAACTTCTAACTTCCCGTCCGTTCCTTCAAAAAAAAAAATTACCAGTCCGGTAAAAATTATAAATATGATTTTTACTGTCTAAATATGAAGGGGTTTTTCCCTTAATAATATTACTAAAGGGAACCTAGTTAGTTAAATACCTCCCTCGGTCCCAAAAATTTGTTCCCGCATTGACTTGGATCGGAGTTTAAGAAAGTAAGAATAAAGTGAAAATGTATTGTTATGATTATGTGAGAAAAAGGTAAATGAATGTGAGCCACACAAAACTTTCCAAAAGGGGAAAGTGGAACAATTTTTTGGAACGGAGGGAGTACGAATTAGACGTTGTTTAATGCGTACGTTTTTTATTCGGTAAATTGAGGGAAAATATAGTCAAAAATTCGGCTAAAAATACGTTGACTTTTAAAAAACGTACAAGTACGTATACATGTACAATATGACATCTCCTTGAAAAATTCGGGTTAAAAATACAGGTCTAATTTTGCATGCTTAAATTATTGTACTAGTTTTTAGATCATAAAAAACATATACTCCCTCCGTCCCGAAAAGATTGGCCAAATTTTCTTTTTTGGATATCCCAAAAAGATTTGTCATTTTCATTTAAAGTAAAGAATATGTGCCTAAATTAATTCTCTCTCCTCTGCACAAATTTCAACCACACAGTTTTTACTAGAAATGGACGTTGTCCGGAACGGTCGGTAAATTAGTAAAACTCGTAATGTATCTGTGAGGTTTTTAACCGTCCGCTACGGTCCAGTTCCAAGGATAGAACCATTCGGTATAATGTCATTTCGGAACGGTACAAAACGGTATGGTACAATGCCAAACACATGATAAAAAAAATTGAAAAAAATCTTGCAATTAGTAGATATCATCACACCAACCAACTCACAAGAAGTGTTTATATAAACACAAGAAATTGCATACGTAGTACTAAAATTCTTCACAAATACAAAAAAATAGTGCAACACAACTAAGAAAAAGTATAGCAAAATGATGACGCACGAGATAAATATCATTTTTAATTTGCTAAGATCATGTGAAAATATAAAAACCAATATCATTAAATTGCTTAATATAATAGAAATCTTCAACGTTCTTCTTCTTCATTCTAGATTAAATAATACTCTATAGTTCTAATTTAATTTATAGTTGAACTTTGAGAGCTAAGATTCAAATCATACGTAGTATTAATTAAGTTGTAAGATTGCACAAACATGATACAACAAAAAGTCATATACACTACATTACTAGAAATGAATAGTCATTAATGATTTCTAAAATTCTAATATTCTTTCAATAGTATATATATAGTCATGTACACTATATGTAGTATATGTATACACACATTTAGCTATTCTAGACACGCATGAATACATACTCGGGCTATAAAATTGTTGGTCTATAAAAGAGATCTATTGGTATAGAAAAAATATACGGAGTAAAATAACTCAAATGCATTATATTCGAACGGTCCGGTCCGGTATTTTTCAGTTCTCAAAATTTAGGACCAGTCTCGTACCATTTCAAACGGTACGGTTTCGGTACGGGACAAAAATCTATAGAACCGTTTAAATATCCGATATTCGGTTTGGTACCATTACGGGACGGTTCGGATCGGGTTTTTATGCACACCCCTAGTTTTTACTTTATTAATTCACGTGAAAGTCAACTTTGACCAACTTTTTCGGGACGGAGGGAGTAGTACATAAATTAAAAGAAAATCAAAAGTTTTTCTTTAGGGACATTTTGTTGGCAGATTTTTTCTGTGGGCTTCCCATTTCGCCTTGAGGGTGAAGCCATGGTGTCGGATTAATTTTCCTCTATTAATTTGCTCCTTTTGCTTACTTATCATATGCTTTCTCCTTTTACTAGAGCGAGTTATTTCTTTTCGCTTTGGGCTAGTACCCATGATTAGTTTTTGCACTCTTCTATTTTAGTTTTTCTTTATTTAAAAAAACATAAAAGAAAATCAAAATACACACATTAAAATAGAATATCTCATTACTCCAACAATAAGTTCATGACCTAAAAGAAATAGTAATAGTAATGACATAATATAATGACAAATTTAAAGGGTAAATAATAACAGCAAAAATCAGTCAACAAGAATATTAGAGAGGATAAACTTATAACTTTATAAGCATAAATAATAATGAGTTCAACACCTTACACCAATAATTACATAATATAATAATGACAAATTAATTAATGGGTAAATAATAGGAACATCTACTGATCTATGTAGCTACTACGAAAATATCATATAGTATGGTTTATAGCAAATCAAACTAATTAACTAATATACTAAGTTTTCTTTTGGACTGAAATTTGCTGATCTGGTCTGGTCTGGTAAATGTCTGGTCTCTATGTATTTTATATCTACGGAAGTCTGGTCTGGTCTAATTTGGTCTGATCTGGTCTGGTCTGGTCTGCGACTGAAAACAGTCCAAAAGAAAACATCCTAACTATGATTTAAAGAAAAAAGCAATACACTGGTCTTGGAGTTGAGGCAATTGGAGTAGAATCTCAAGTTTCGGCCATAGTTCTTAGTATTTTTATAACCACCGATGTCTGGTCTGGTCTGGGACAAATTACAGTCCAAATAAAAACATAATAACAGTAATGACATAATAGTAATGACCATAATTTGGAATCAACACAAGAATCGGAATTGACACAATCAATATATATATATATATATATATATATATATATAAGAGGAACTTTTAAAGAACATACAATGCGCCACATAATCTTGTCATGTCATCATATATAATACTTATTTAATTACTTTTTATACCTTTTGTTTTTGCATTACATTCTATATTTTATTTCATATTGATACGGAAATAAAACACTATATATAGGATATAATCCACTTTAATTGGTAACTTTTTTAGAATCTATTACTTTTTTTACAACTCAAAATCTATTACTTATTAATTTGGATAGTTATAATAATGTTCTAAAAATATTGGACATTATTAAACTCATCAATCGGAACCGCAACAATTAATAGCCATCTGAGACTAGTACTTGACTCCAAACGTTATTTTCAATTCCAACATAATTCTAGCAATTCAACTCCTATTTTTTATTATAGCAAATCAGTAAAATTTGAGGTGGGTGGATTTTTGAAAGAGTGTCCGGCGTTTGGCTGATGAGCCGCTGAGGCACCAAAGTGAGGAAAGTGATTACTGGTTTTTTTTTTTTTTTCAGATTTTGACCTTTGGAATCTGGAAAGCTTTTAATATCTTTAAAAATCGGAACCTATTCGTATTCCACTTTTAAGGCAGCGGCCGTTGATCCGGCACTTTACAAGTTAACATTTTATAACTTATTAATTGGTAAATTAAAAAAAAAAACTTATTTTTAAAAAACAGATAACTTAACCATTGATAACACCAAGAACTAGATACAAAATTGCCAAAATGAAGGCTACATTAGAATGAGACTCTGAGCTGGATACGCGCATAAAAGCGGACCATCTTGCTAACCCTGCAACGTGGTAGATTCCATACGCAGCAATGCTGCACCCGCTACTAAAAGGGGAAATAAAAGACAAGACAATGTTCTGAATTGGAAATACCGGAAAATAACATAATCCAGTTTGACCAGCCACTGGCAAGGGAGTAGCGGTTTGGCCATCCCCCGCTATAGGAACAATCTTCAAGGCCTTGCCGCTTTCCGCTATTGGCGGTGCTGCCCAGGCAGCACCGCCATCTCCGAGTTTTTTTGAAGACGCGTCATCAACTTCCATGTTCACCTGAGTCCCCACCTCGTTATCAGTCTCACTGGCCCGACGCTTTCTAGGTGCATCTCCAGTTGTAGCAGACTCCTTTCCCTTCGTCAAAAGGCCCTCCACCAAATAACTATCCTGGCCCCTTATCTCCTTATCATCTTCCACAATTTTTCCCTGCCTGTCACCCTCTTTATTACTGCTAGGAATGAGCCATCTGTTCCCCGAATGCGTTCCTCCACGCCTCATATTAGCTCTCAGCCACGGCCCATACAGTTTTTCACCTATCCCCAGCCCGCTGTGTGGGTTGGATGGGCAAAAACGGTCAGCATGGCCTAGAATCCCACATAGAAAATATAAATTCGGGAGTCTTTCATATTTAAAGTTTGCCCAAATCCAGCCATCTCCCTTCTGTCTAACCTGCAGGCGTCGGACTAGAGCCATAGTGACATTCAGAGTGACCCCAATACGCATAACCAGCCTCTGTTTTCCTCCGGAAGAGCTCTCATCCAGTTGCACAAAAGAGCCTATACTATTGGCTATGCCTCGAATTGCCCTAACTGTCATGTAGCTAAGTGGTAATAAGTCATGTACCTGGACCCAGAAGTCTGCGTGATCAAGAGCAACCTCAAGCGGTTTATCAGTGCGCCACAAACGTCTAATCATTACCAGGTTCTATTCAAAAGACCACGGTCCTTCATCCACAACTCTATTCAAATCTCCCTCATGATAGAATTGTAAGAGAAATTTGGAATCCTCAATCTCATCAATCGAAACCCCTTTCACAGGTCTCCATACCATAGTCATAGTCTAGCAGAAGGAAACAACATGAACGGGTTTATCAGAAACCACTCTGGCCACTGCCGTTAAATTATAGCCTTCGATGCTCCGGAGAAAAGGAGCAGAGTAAAACTAACCCAGTGAGTACGCCTAACACGAGAAGCGATCGATGCTTTCTTTGGATTTGCCGCCGATCATCGAACTTCGGTTCCCTCGTTAAAAAATAAATAAATTATTAATTGGTAAATTAACCCATTCAATTACCTGTTTTTTGTAAAACTCGTTTGGGTGCCGTAATATTCCGTTTAAAACGGCACAACCTATTTATTCGTTGAAAACGAGTTTTTTGGCAAAAAAAAAAAAAACGGATACGCGTATAGAACGTGTTTTATGTGCGAAAAAGCTAACTATGAAAGGGAAAAGGTACAAATATACCATGTAGTATGAGTGTGAGAACCAAGTTTTCCTTATTGATGAACCACCCTAGGCAAAGGTGCAG